CCAAACCTTTTTTTTGAGACGGGGAAACCTTCAAAAAGTCCTCCGGATCATCGTCCTGGGCCTCTATTCGGATGAGGCCGCTATTCGGCTCAATCAAAGCTCAGGATTCCCCGAGGGAGTGTGGGATTCTTACCCACTAAAACCCCGTCGTGGCCTCTCTTGGCGTGTCTTAAGAAAGGACACTGGATACTCGGTACTAAGTAAGAAATCGACCAGTGTCCCTTCTACGTCAAAGCCATCCTCGAAAGAGAAAAGAGAATTTTATTTTATTCTCTCTCTACAGGTTGATTCAAAATAACCTGATGTCCTTGCAATGCCATATTCGTGAGCGAATTCTGAGACGATTTTTCCTTTTACAAAATTTTGTCCGAAGCTTAGTTTTCGAGTTATAATTGAAAATAGGTAGCAACTTACGAGTTCGGTACAACGGGCAGGCAGGGACGCGCAATGTATAATGAGACTGTCAAGTGTTTACTGTCGTCTTATGACGCATTGCCCGTCCCTGCCTGTCCGTTGTATTGGACTCGTAAGTAGCAAACTATTTTCAATTATAACTCGAAAACTAAGCTTTAGACAAAATTTTGTAAAAGGAAAAATCGTCTCAGAATTCGCTTAAGAATATGGCATTGCAAGGACATCAGGTTATTTTGAATCATCCTGTATATCATCTTTCGGGTGTTGGGATGCAGCCACAACACACAGCCACCTCCTACCCTGGGCCAACAGCAGATGTTTGCTGCTGCCTCAGCGGCCTCAAACACCCAGGTGGCTCGGTGTGGCTTGAACCACCCTAGCCTTTCTTACCTAATAATAGAGTGGTGCGAGCGGTCTCTCCCGTCCGTACCGTGAGAAGGGAATGGGAGAGATAGTACACCTTCCACCATTCCCCTCTCCAAACCGTTCTGAAAAAGATTCCCGGGCTCTCACCCCCCGCAGGTTCTCTCTTCTATTCTGCGACTAGAGATCCGGGAGGGATTCATTCCTCGCTGTTTGTCCCTCATCGCTGTTTGCTTCTGCGACATGACTTTCTCACAGAATGAGGCAACTGTTTTCCAGGGCTTCTTTCCTTCGAGCATCGCCCATACAACAGTGGGCAGAGAGAGGTCCCCTCCGATTATCTCATTCAGGACACGGCGCTTATTGGCCTAAGCTGGGTACACCTTTAGGGTATGTTGTACCGAGTCCGGACCCCTTCCGCAGTGATGACAGATGATCTTCCGCTCCCTCCCAATTTGACACAGGTACTCACCGAAGCAATCGTACCCAGTGAACACCTGCGTCAAGCGGTAGGTGGGCTTCCATGCTTTGAAGCATGGCAGAACAGTTCCGACAATTCGTTGCTCCGAGCTGGATGGAAGTTTCACCAGCTTCTGCTGCCAACGCAGCAATAAGGATTGCCGGGCCAGGCGTCTCAATACCTCGGTTTTCCTAGCGAGATTCTCCACGCTCTCTCCGCCCTGACGGAGATTCCTGCGCTGGTCGCATACATCTTCGCTAGGAGATACGGGGGAAGCATCCCCACCAGAATACTCACTGCCTCGTAAGAGATGGTCCTGTATTCCTTGGCAACTCTAATAGATAACCGCTTCATCACGCTCCGCAGCAACTACCTGTTGTGGCAGTCAGTCATCAGGTCGCCCGCCAACATCGGGTCCCGTATAGGGCCATGGAATGGACCACCCCCCGGTACAAGCGGCGGACCCTGTCTTTTGGTCCCCCCCTATATTTGGGATGAGATGACCCAACGTATTCGCCGTTTTTTTTACCGAGGAGTCAAGCGGTCGAAGTGCTCTCTAAAGAGCTAGCAACAGTCCAGGATACTGAGCTCCAGATACTTAATCCAGTCGCTTACCCAGACCCAGGACTCATCCACCTTTATCCAGGACTGGGGTGGTTTGTCTTTCCGCCGAGGCCCGTGGAACCATAAGGTCTCGGTTGTGGAGAATCACCTCTTGTCAATTACTTCCCCAGGTGAACACCAATGTGTCATCTGCGTAGCACATCTGCGCTATACCTGAGGGAAGGAACCTTTTTTTTTATAGATTAGGAAACCTTTAAAAAGTACCTATGGATTCCCGGGTGTTGCACCTGCAGAACGGAATCACACGCGTCAACGGAACTCGCGGAAAATAAGTTAAACAACACAACACTTTATAAGAGAGAACACTTTAATTATAAACAGTAACTCAACAGTAACTCATACAATAAATAACCGAAAATAAGATTGAAAGATCGGAGCTGTCGTATACGTCCGCCCGAGCAGACAGCTACCGAAGATCTGACATATGACAGCTTGTTTACAAACTGTCATAGAGACCCTTTAAACCGTTAATCGATATCGTCTTGACAACAAATAAGAAAAACTTTTGTTATTTACAAATGCCATATGGCATTGGACCGATCGATAATATCGATCGGTCCGTCAGCTGTAACACACAGCATCAGCGGAGAAAAGCACAGGCGCAACACGGGGGAGGGTCCATAGATTATGTGGGATTTCTACCGACTATTCTAAAACCCCACCAATGACCAAACCCGAGCCTTTAGTTGGGGTGTTCAAGGAACAGCCAACAGTATTCTTCGCGAACACCCCAGGCTCACCAATAGATCTCCCTTGGTGCACAAGTGGGTGCACCCACTTCCCAACTTGTGTTGAGAGCTCCCTCCATTTGAGACCCCCGTCCAGACTCCCGTCTGATTGTGAGACCTCAACCCCCCAGCCTCAAGGAGGGAGGAATATCCTCCCTCCGAGACTCTTCTGTGGGATGAGGGATTGCTGATTCCTTCATCCATACCTTCGTTTTAGGAGGGGAGTGGCAAACTTGCCCGCTTCCCCTCTATTGACGTTATGATATGTGCAAATGCGCTGAGAGATGCTTCGGTTTTTTGCATGACAGAGGCACCTCCCCCTCCCTATCTTCAGAAGGGGGATTATCTCACCTCTTCTCTCCCTTTCTACCTCCTCTTTTTTAGAGATACTCGCAAAAGGAGGAGGCAGCTTTTCAATAATTTTTTTCCACCAAGCATGGTTGCGACCAATGTTGGAAAGGAGAGGTCCCTTCTCACCACTACGGTCAGGGCTCGGCGCTCTTCTTCTCAGGCAGGGCATACCTTTAGGGTATGCTGCGCCGAGTCCCGACCAGCCGTACAGTGGTAGCACTGTGCCGTGCGCTCTTTTCCTATCCTGCACAGGTACTCGCCGAAGCAGTCATGCCCGGTGAACACTTGTGTCAGGCGGAATGTTAGTCCGCCTCTCCCTCTGTCTATCCATTCGGGCAGACAGGGCTGGATGGCCTCGATGGTCCTTCAGCCCGAAGTATTCGGGTCAGATGGATCTGCCAGGCCCTGAGTGCTCGATTCCGGGCTTGCCGACGAATTATCTCTACGGTCCTTTGTTGTCCTGGGGTTATTCCTCCCGCCGGAGCACCCGAGAAAAGGAATTTTTTTTTAGATGGGGAAATCTTCCAAAGATACCCACGGTTCCCGGGGGGAGAACCGCGGATTATGTGGGATTTGTCCGGGAATATTAAGTACAAGAGAAATCGTTTTATTTTTTATAAAGAAAACATAGTAGTTAAATATACAAAGAAAGTGACGAAATTTGCATAGGAACAGTCTATTAAATTATTATAAAAAATATAACAATTGTAATATTAGTACTTAGTACTTCCACCATTACGCTTAATCACCTTAAATATTCTGTTCTCCACACTACAAACTAATTTTTGTAATGTTCTAGTACCGATTTTATTCCATTCATGTCTTACAGCGTTTTCCAGCTCCTTAATGTTCCTGTACTGTTTATTATTTTTGTATCTCGCAGTTTTATGGTCTTGTGCATTCGACTTAAAGATTTTGATCTTACCGTCTCGGACGGCCACCCACTAAGACCCCACCGGTGACCTTCCTTGGCCTTGTGGGGGTGTTCAAGGAACTACTCAGTATTATTTCCCGGACACCCCTGGTCCGCCTGCGCCTGCGATGACCAGGCACCTCAATCCAGGGCCCATCTGGCCCTGGTCTTATCTTGCTCTATTGTGACAAGGCAGGGTCACCGCTACCTTGTGTTATCAGTTATTTATTTCGATTGATACCGCACTTCTCGGAGATGGGTTGGATTAGGTTAATCCTTTCGGGATGGAGTTGCAGAAAGAAAGGTTTCACTCTTCTTTCGCTCATGTGGTGATTGAAAAATGTGTAAACGCATGTATTGTATACCTAGGAGAAAACATTAAACTGTCAAAATTTAATTTGTTATATCCCTCGCCTACGTGGTGATTAAAATGTTGTGGTTGTAAATAAAAACTTTCTGGTTAGAAGACGATAAACAGATTAGAATAGCGTACACAAACTTAATTGTTCTTAATATTTATGATACTTTCAATTAGAATCTTTATTTTATTACATCTCTGCAACCAGCGTCGTTCCTCTCAAAGTTCTTGCAGAAATTTATTCACAGAAATCTTCTCTACAACATCTCAGCGGCAGAAAAATCAGTGAGATGTAATCTAGTGTGAACAGTGACCAAAAATTGAATTGCTGAATATATAAATTCGTTTTTATATGAACAATATTCAGATACATTTAAGAACATTTAAAAAAAGATTTATGAAATATACATATAATTCTATAAATTTCATAAACTCTATAAATTTTGTAATTTTTTTGTGCTTCTCAAAATAAGACGAACTATTTAAGAAAAATGCAAAAAAAAAAAATAAAAAATATCAAATTTTAAGAATTTTAAAAATATTAATTGTTTAATAATTTAAAAAATGTTAAAAGGTTTAATAAACCATGATACTTTTTGTTTATTATGTTCTTATTTTTAAACTAATTTGGTGTAAAAGACTTATTCTGCACATGTGCAGAATTATTACACACACTATTAAAAATAATAAAATAAAAAAAAAGTTTAATAATAACAAATAAGATTTTGCTTACCTCTGATGAAATAATTTGAAGAATTTTAGAAGAATTTGATTGTATGTTTAATATAGTAAACCTGTTCACTGCCATCTCAAGGAAATTTCAATACTACTGAAAATAAGTACCGGAAAGTGTATGCTTTTTAACCATAATCTTTGCGGTAATCATGGTGTGTGCCAAGAAATTCAGAAGAACATTCTTCATTATGCAACGTGCAACTGTTTTGAAGGTAATATCATTAATATAACTTAATGTTTTTATAAATAGTATAGCGTAATTTTGATTTAAATTTTAATTTTTTGGATGATTTTTAATTACGCAAATAATTGTGCAAAAAAATTAAAATAGTATATCTTGTATAAGCTTTTATATGTGATACTGCTAAATAAATATAATGCTACTAATTTTATCTTTGGTAAATATGCATATTAGGTCAAACTTCACCAATTTTTTCCCAAGTGAGAGACGGCATTGGTTTGAAAGATATAACAAATTAAAATTTCACAATTTTAATGCTCTTTAGGTGTTATAAACTGCTATTACGAATAAAAGTTTGTGTACGCCGTACTAATCTGCTAAAGAATGTAAACAAAAAATTTTTGTTTTTTAAAAGACAGTCACAGTCATAGATATTTTATTAACAGTCGGTTTTACGTATTTCTCGTAGTTTGTTAACAGCTTTCGACTACACGAGTTTCTAAGCCTTGTTGAGGATAGTCAATAAGTAGATCAATAAGTTATTAGATTTTCTGTTTACAACTTTTACGCGTGGACGATGGAGGGGCGCAGCTGTACCTCAACAGAGGGACTCGTAAAGGGGGCGGGAGGGCAAGCCGGGTCATCATAAAGTGGTCTGAGGGCAGATCCCAATCCTGACATACAGGGCAGTGGACTTTATTGGGATACGGTCCTATCCTATGCCCTGCTTGCCCACAATTAAAGTAATAGAGATTTCTGTCTCTGCTGTTAGGGTACTTTGCTTTAATCTGAGAAGCCCCTTCTCCTGCACCCCTCCACAAATTTTAATCTAACCTAACCTAACCTCTCTCTCTCTCTCTCTCTCTCTCTAACTTAACCCTAATTTTAATTAACTAATCAGAATTAGATTTGGTTTAGGTTAGAGTTTTTGGGGGTGGGAGTGCAGGGGCTTTCTACGCATGAAAGTTGTAAACAAACTTTTTTAATCAAATAATAACAGATTATTACAGCGTATACAAACTTTATTGTGAAACTTTAATTTGTTATATCTCTTAAATTCCCCATTTGAATTTTTGTGCGGAATTACTTACGAGTAACCCTACCTTTGTGTGACTCGCCGATTTCATCGAAACTTTGCACACTTGTAGAGTAGGCAAAAATAATAGACACGTATTTTTTTATATCGGCAATGATGCAACTTTAAGGGTGAAAACTACCCCTAAAAGAAGTGAAAAATTATCGTTTTTTGTAACATTATCTTTATAAATATTGATGTAACAAAGAAATGTTTCGAATAAAAGTTATAGCTCTTGAAAAAAATACATTAGTTATGTCCTATGCATTTTTTGCATAAAACTAATATTTTTGGAAAAACATAAGATAATAAAAAAAACACTCTTTCCGCACTATGCAGTGGGTTCCCCCCTCTACCTCCGGAAGGGGAACTCACAGCATCCACATATACACTTTACAACGGGAAGCGAGGCTCTACATGGATTTGCAACTTTCCACGCAAAGCGAGGTTTCAACCCAAATCTATGTGTATAGGTTTTTGATGGTGGAGCCGCCGCAGGAGGACGGAACACAATGCCTCCACGCATACACTTTATAATGCATTATCTTATTTTTTTTTCAAAAAATATTGGTTCTATGCAAAAAATGCATAGAACATAAATGATATATTTTTTCAAGAGTTATAACTTTTATTCGAAACATTTCTTTGTTACATCAATATTTATTAACATAATGTTACAAGAAACGATAATTTTTCACTTCTTTTAGGGGTAGTTTTCACCCTTAAAGTTGCACCATTGCCAATATAAAAAAATACGTGTCTATTATTTTTGCCTACTCTACAAGTGTGCAAAGTTTCGATGAAATCGCCGAGTCACACAAAGCCCAATGAACATTAGGACATTCTATGTACGTCCTATGTATATACATATATGTATATTGTATATTCTATGTATATACAGAGAATGTGAAAAGTATATAAAGCGCATATCCTATGTATGTGAAATAATTACCACATGTATGTACATAGGATGTCCATAGTACATACATAGGTATATTCCAAAGATATGCAGTGTACATTCGTGGTATATACATGGGGTATATTCCGAGGATGTGCAGTGCACGTTCGCAGTATGTACATAGGATATATTCCGAGGATGTGCAATACACATTCGTGGCATGTACATGAGGTACATTCTATGTATGTACATAGTATATACAGTACGTTTTTTAATAATAAACAATTTTCATTCATTTGGATATTTATGTACCCAATTTTTGAACAATCAGTTTATCTAAATTCTCTGTGTTGGGATTCAGATATTAAACTGATAGAAAAAGTTATTACATCTTCAAATTGAAGACTTCAATATTATTACCCGCCTTTTGCAAGTTTTATATAGTTTTCATGATTAAAACTTAAATACGAGATAGATAGCGTATAATGCGTCACATAGCGGCAAGCGAACGAACTAATGATTGATTCTATGTATATCCATACGATATCTTATGTACATCCATAAATGTACCTATATCAGCGTATATCATATGTATGTACGTTACATGTATTATATACACATGGAATGTACACGAGGTATATTCTATGTATGTACAAGCAGCGATCTCGTTCAAATATACATTCTATGTATATCCATATATGTACCTACATCAGCGTATATCGTATATACATATGTATGTTACATGCAGGGTTGGGAAGTAACGCGTTACTTGTAACGCCGTTACCGTTATAATTACTTTTTTTCGGTAACTGTAACGGTAACGGCGTTACAAATTTTTTTTGTAACGAAAAAAGTAACTTTTTTACATTTTTCGGTAACAAGTAACGAATTTAAAGTTATTTTTATCGTTACATTTTTCAAATTTATTCTATATATCTACGAATTTATAGAAAAACTAACAATAAGAAAACTTTTTAATTTATATTTACAGCATCTAAAAATTTTTAAAAAAGCTGGTTTACAACTTATTTTAAAAATTTTTCTTATTTAAAATATCTTATTATCAAAATTATTACTTTTATTATATATTATTAAAATTATTACACTTTATATTAATAGCGATATCATTATTAAAATTATATCATTTTTGTTACTTTAATGAAAAAGTGTTTAAAAATTTTTAATGTTTACTGTAAATTTGTAGTGTTTAATTTAATCTTGTATTAGAAAAATTGTGCATAAAATTTGTATTATATATAAAAAAAGTAACGGAAATTGTAACAATTCGTTACTTTTTGAGTAACGGCAACGGTAACGAGTTCCTTTTTAAAATTGGTAAGGAGTAACGATAAGGAGTTGCTTTTTAGAAAAAAGAACGGTAACGGTAACGAGTTACTTTTATAAAGTAACTTTCCCAACCTTGGTTCCATGTATATACATGGAATGTACACGAGGTATATTCTATGTATATACAGGCAGCGATCTCGTTCGAATATACATTGTATGTATATCCATACGATATCCTATGTATATCCATAAATGTATCTACTTCAGCGTATATCGTATGTACAATATACGTTTGATGTTGCGACGTGAACTAGCCTCGGAATCACGCAAGATCCGAGGGAGCACGCCCAATGAAAGTCGGTAGCCCGCGGTACTCCACGTTCTTCGGGAGCTAGGTAACTTACGCGTTGTCGGCGGTAAACGCACGACTCGGTAACTCGCGGTATCGGCAAATAATGCTCGATTCGGTAACTCGCGATACTCCACGTAATTCGAGAGCTAGGTAACTCGCGCGGTATCGGCAATAACTGCACGATTCGGTAACTCGCGGTACTCCACGCAATTCGGGAGCAAGATAACTCACGCAATATCGGCAATAAATGCACGATTTCGGTAACTCGCGGTACTCCATGCAATTCGGGAGCAAGGTAACTCACGCGATATCGGTAACCGGAAATGGGCGCCAGGTGCGTGTAATCGCACCGCGGTAACGGTAACTTAGATAATTCTTATAATATGTCCGACCGCTCCCCGCTCAGTATATGGCAGAGGGGCGTAGTTTTTTTACTTTACGTTGAGAGTCTGGAGTGACAGGCGAACACAAGGACAACTCAATAATCAAGATTTAACAATAATGTATTTCAAAATTAGTTAACAAGGGTAAAAGATGAATAGCTATGATTTGGCCTGAACCAATACGGCAGAGATAGTTAGTACGGCGGTAGTAAGGTAATTCGCTCGTAAGTCGGTAACGTAAGATAAAATAAACTTTGATACGGTACGGAACTTCGAAACGCGAACGGAAAACGGCAGCTGACCCGACGATACTCAGCACAATCGACCGTACATACAACGGCCACTCAACGAGGTCGAAGAAGGCCAAATAAATATGATTCAAAACGACGGTTATCTACCAGTCAGAAATGCTATGTCGCGGAGCGGCTATTTTCGCGGATTTTGTTCGTTTCTCGCAAAGACGCTAAAGTGGCGGTAACAGCAGTCTCGCGGAGAACGTTCCCGCGCAAAATCCGTTTGCAGACGTGGAATCGCGATAATTCTTAGCATTCAATTACTGCAAAAACGGCAAGAGACGGTAACGTTAAGAAACAGTAGCAACAGACGGTACTAAAAAAACAAGACGGTAACAGAAAGCCGGTACGGTAATACGGTAACGAGACGGAACGATACTTGAAACGGTAACAAACAAAAGAGAGACTGTCGGTGTTAACTCGTGCAAGATAGAGAGACCTCGAACGCGATATCCGGAGCCGGCTGGATATGCGGTAACTGAGAGCCAAAAGTGCGCTCACGGTAGCAAAGTCGCGGTTAGTCGTGTGAGAGACTTTACACAGAGTTTGGACTCACGCTACCAGCCATAACCGGACGGAACTCTACGGCTACCCGAGAGGCGGCTTACAGTCTTCGGCGTCTTCGGCGTCGTCGGCGTCGTCGGGAGCGCTCTGGAGCTGGTCCTCACTAATGCACGACACACCGAACAGTGAATCTTCTCTGCTCTGTCCGTTGGTCTCTCGAATCCCGCGTCGCCTTTCCG